CCTCCTCCTCCTCCTCCTCCTCCTGCTCGTTAGGGCCCGCCTCCTGGGCTTGAGCCGGGCGTGCCCCCACTACAGGGGGAGGGGGAATGTTCGAAAATAGTCCCAAAACAGTCTGGGGACTCTTTTCTTTTTTTGTTTTTTGTTTTTACTATTTTTGAGCACTCTTGAGTTTGTGGGGGGTATTTTTGGCATCTGTCTTTCCAAGATCTGCCCGTAGGGGGACAGGCCCGACCTAACCCTGGGCACCCCTCCCTACCTGGAGGGGGGCTGGGCTGCGGCTCCCTGCCCGCAAGGACATCCCTCGAGTCTTGAGGCTCCCGGGCGACGGTGCCGACGACGACGAATCTTGCGGACCTGCTATTTTAACCAGCTGTTTGGACCTTCGTGTCTCTTCCGCTCCCTCGCGCCCGCCCTCTAGTCGGGTATGGCCAGGACCCCAGGTAAGGGGACCCGGTCAGTGGTAGGGCCCTGGGGCCTTTGAATTGGCCAGAATCACGAGACCAGGTTTGCCATAGCTGGTGTGTTTCGGGTGACGGCAGTTCCGGTTGGTGGCAATGGGACGGGGGGGCGCCCGCGGTACAGATCACTAAACCAGGTTCCACTAAACCCAGTCCCGCCAGCGCCCGATCTAAGTCTGGGCGACGGTGCCGACGACGACGAATCTTGCGAACCTGTTTTTTTTTAAACCAGCTGTTTGAATCTTCGTGTGTCTCTTCCGCTCCCTCGAGCCCGCCCGCCCTCTTAAGTCCACGAGCCAGCCCCCATGCCCGTTTCTGGGTGAAGCCCCCAGCACGGAGCGCTGCTCCTGGGTTTGAGGAAGCATCGGACCAGGGCGCGATTGAGCACGTGGCGAGGAAGTGTTAACGACGCCTGCGGCGGGAACGGTAACGGTGGCGGCGACGGCGACGGCCGGTGGTTTTCAGGTCATATTTGGGGCCTCCAGCGGTCGTTCGGGACGATCCGGGCACCCCCAGCAAGCTCCCGATGACGTGCAGCCGCTGAAAAGCATTCCGATGCACAACAAACGAATCACGGAAGGAGGAGGACGACGACAGAAACGGCGACGGCGACGACGACGACGACGACGACGATGGCGACGACGACGGCGACGACGATGAGCACGGCGGCGGCGGGGCGGCGGCGGCGGACGAGGCGGGAGCGTTGGCGGCCTGCGGCCCGAGGCTGCAGCGGGGCTTGCACGAGACGTTCACCGGGGGCGTGGGCTCGTTCCTCCTGGTGAACCTGGCGCCCCTCTCCTCCCTGCGGCCGCCCGTCTCAAAAAACAGTAAGAGTGATAAGCATGGCAACGAACAACAAATAACACACGTAGGAGCTCATAGACATAGTTGGGAGCATAGAGTGAACATGAGGAGAGGAGGATGAGTAGCATGATGTAGATGAGTCTAGAATGATAATCATGAGGTGGATGAGGATGAGGATAAGGATGATGAGGTGGATGAGGAAGAGGATGGGGATGGGGATGATAAGGACGAGGATGCGGGATGCGGCTGATGGTGATATAAGTGATGGTGATGGTGATGAGGAGAAGGATGAGGAGGAGGAGCAGGAATATGGTGATGGCGATGGCGATGACGATGGTCATGGTGATGGAGATAATGGTGATGCTGATTATGATGCTGATGATGGTGATTCTGATACTGAGCTTGCTTGGGTATGATGGTAATGATGGTAGAGATTACGACGGTTGCCGATGATTGATGTGAGGATGACGAAACGATGAATGTGATGATGATGGTGATGCTAATGATGATGATGATGATGATGATGATGATGATGATGCTGATGATGATGATGATGATGATGATGATGATGAGGATGAGGATGAGGATGAGGAGGAGGAGGAGGAGGAGGAGGAGGAGGAGGTAAGGAGGAGGAGGATGACGAGGAGGAGGGTGTTTTAGTCATGACGCGACGCGAGGTTTGACCTTTTTGCCCTTTCCAGGCCCAGGAGCGGTCACACAGAACGCTCGGGATAGGAAACGGGTCCCAGCGAAAAGGGCCCGACTTGGGGGGCTCCACGTTAGGAGCAAAACGCGACGTCCGAGGTCTGGGTAGGAAGGAGGAGGAGGAGGAGGAGGAGGAGGAGGAGGAGGCGGAGGAGGAAAAGACGGACCACGGCGTGAGGGGAGAAGGCCTCAAGGTGCTTGCGCAGGGCGGCTTGCCGGGGTTGCTGTCAGGCGGTCTGACCGCGACCCACCTGGCCCTCCAGGCGTGATGGTGGCCGCTCGGGCGTGGAGTGCCCGAGCTAAGGGCAAGCAGCGGCAAGCAGCCAGCGATTGGAAGTTCGAGCGAGCGGAAGTTAGGCGGACTTGCAACCCACCTGCAGTCGCCTTGCCAGTGGATTGCAGCCACCTTGCAGCGATTACTGCGAGTGTTGCAAGTCGAACCGACCACTACACCGGGAAGGGGGTAGGGGCGGTCGAAGGAACGAACGACACAGGGGACGCTTACTCCAAAGGTGACAAACTGCATCAACACAGATTTTCGGAGCTCTGCGCAGAGTTCTGTGACCGGCGCTCAGCCCAGCGCCGATCCACGAAGTCCGCGTGGAGCTCCGAGAGCTTGCGTGAACGCGGTGGTTTCTGCTGCTGTCGGAAGGCCTTTCGGCAGGGCCGGTGGCCCTGCCAGGCGCAGGTGTCGTAGGCAGGCACTGCTGCTCCATCCCTGGTGCCCTTCGGAGGCAAGGAGGGGGGGGGATAGGCATGGGGTTAAGTCAGTGAAGTCGGGCCTGCCCCTCTACAGGAGAATATTCAAACATAGTCTAAACAAACAACATGGGGACCATTTGTTTTCGCATGGTTTAAATATGTTTTGGGTATTTGGGGTGTATCTTTTTCGGATCTCGTCCAAAATCCCTCTGTAGGGGGACACGCCCGACCTAAAAGCATAGGGGGGATGCATCGACCTGCCATCGCCCATGGATCGCCGATTGGGGCCTAATAGCCCCCCCCTCCTCCTCCTCCTCTCCCTCCTCCTCCTCCTCCTCCTCCTCCTCCTCCTCCTCCTCCTCCTCCTCCTCCTCCTCCTCCTCCTCCTCCTCCCCCTCCTCATCCGCCATTGGCTCAGGAAGGTGCGATTCACTGTCGGGGGCCTATCGCCGATCTATCGACGATATATCGCCGACTCCAGGTGCATCCCCCCCTTTGCCTATCCCCCACGATCGTTGCCCCTCAGCCATCCAGGACAGGCACGCCCCATCCCGAGGTCCGAGTTCGTGGACAGACCGCCGCGTCGTGAGGAAAGACAGGCTGTCGACCTTGTCTCTATATGTGGGGTCTTTCGAGCTTGGCCGCTCGGCGAGGGTGCTGGGGCAGCGGAACGGAGCCCACACAATCCTGTCGCGACCGTCGTTTTTGCACGACGCCCGTCCTCCAAGGTCCTGGCGGCCGCCCCTGCCCTGCCAGCCCCCAGAACGGGTGGAAACCGATCCATGATGGTCGCGAAGCCATCCGAGACTCGTCTGATTGTGCGAGTTGTTCCGGGCACGCCTTCCCCAGTTTTAGAGGCATGGAACTCCCGAGCAACTCGGAACATGTCCGAAGATCGCCCGGTAGCCTCCCAGAAGGCTCCTCGTCCGTGGCCAGTTCAGGGCACGCCCTCCCCAATTCGAAACCATTCCACTCCCGATAGCCTGCGAAAGAGGAGGAGGAGTCGGAGGAGGAGGAGGAGGAGGGATCGCCTGCGAAAGCCTCCGAAGATCCAGCAGAGAGAGCCTCCCAAGATCCTACTCCACGGCCAGTCGGGGACGCGCCTTCCCATAACATGAAGTCGGGCCTGTCACCCCACAGGGGGACTTTCGACGAAAAATAAAACATATCCCCCAAATAATCCAAAATTTGTCCAAAAATAGTCTGGGGACTATTTTTTATAATTTTGGACCATTTTGGAATATTTGTTGTTTGTTTGTTTTTCGTCGAAAACCCCCCTGTAGGGGGACAGGCCCGACTTAACCATAGCATGTAAAAACCATGCGAGATCCCTGGCCAACTAGCACATTCGCAGAGCTCGCGAATCCCTTGGCCCGTCACACAGCGGCAATGACCCTCGCGCGCCGCGATTCGCAACTCGAGTGTAAGCTCTACTCCGACGCCGGAAGCTTCACCGTCCATCAAGCTCCCGAACGGCTCCCAGAGCCTCCGAAGATCACCAGGGCACCTCCGCGAAAGTCCTCCTCCTCCGCAGCCAGCTGGGCTCTACGCTCCCGGCCGCGAAAGCAGCCCCCTCGGCACGCCCCTATCATCCGCGAGACCGCGCGGGGCCGAACCCCGTCGGGGAGACTTCGCCGCCAGAGGACAGACGAGCCACAGCTTGGGGGAGCTGTGAGCCTCACATCCGGGGGGGGGGCCCGCCAAGGTGTGGTGACCACCCAGACCCCCTCGCGCTGTGGAAAAAAACGCAACCTGGAGGCTTTTCGCTACTCTCGGCTTACAGGGGCCCTTGCCGGGCCTCGGGACCGTCAAAAAACAACTCAGGAGGGAATTCCCCCAGACCCCGACGTCAGGGCAACATCACGACGTCGGTGGTCTGGGGTCACCGCACGGTTTCGGGACTCGGGTCGTTCTCCAATTAACACCTCCGGCGACCCGGGCCTCCGAGGTCCGCAAGACCGTGCGGTGACGGACCGCGTGGTGAGGTCGCTTGGGATCTCGAGGTCGTCATACGGTGTGTCGCCACATGGCTTTGGGACCTATCCAGCATCGGGATAAGTCGCTCTCAGAGCGTTCTGGAAGGCCCTGAGCTGGCCTCGACGCCCGAGACATCCCTCAGAACCGCTGGATCTCAGAGATTCTCGTTGTATTCCCCTCCGATTTTGCCCCGACCTTTGCTTCGTGCTAGGACCCAAAGAGCTTGGCACCGCTCTCGAGAGATCGCCGATGCGGTGGGTTCCCCCAGGGGGGCACAGCTCCGTGAGCCGTGGCCGGTCGGCGAGGAGGGGCGAGATGCAGAGCCCCGGCGAGGGCGCGGTGCAGCTGGCGCAGGCCACCTCCGCGAGCTCGCTGTGGGCCAGGATCTGCTTGCGCAACAAGGGGCTCCCGCTGCCGATGCAGCCGCGCACCGCACCGGTCAGCATGGAGATGGTGGTCAGGGGCAACGTGAGGGTTAATGAAGTCGGGCATGTCTCTCTATAGGAGGACGATTCAAAATGAGCCTGGCGAAGAACTCAACCATATGCAGCTGTGGGCACAGCCGTTGTATGCACCGCATTCGATGGGGCTCCATACAAGGCCGTGAAGCGTGTGAGGGGTGTGCCAAAATGGGGGCGGTGGGCGCATGCGATCGCTGGCATTTGGGCCTTCGGTGGGGCTCCCTATGGGGCCACGAAGCGTGTGAGGGGTGTGTCAAAATTGGCGCGGTGGGCGCATGCGAACGCTGGCATTTGGGCCTTCGGTGTGGCTCCTTATGGGGCCACAAAACGTTTGAAGGGTTTGACAAAATGGGCGCGGTTGGCGCGTGCGAACGGTCGCATTTGGGCCTTCGGTGGGGCTCCCTGTGGGGCCACGACACGTGTGAAGGGTGATGGGTGCGTTGGGCGCATGCGAACGCAGGCTTTTGGGCCTGCGATGGCGCTCTCTAGGAGGCCACGAAGCGTGTGATTCGGTGGCGCTCCCTGGGGCCACGAAGCGTGTGAGGGGTGTGCTAACATGGATGCAGTGGGCGCGTGCGAACGCTGGCATTTCGGCCTTTGGTGGGGCTCCCTCCGGGGCCGCAAAACGTGTGAGGGGTGTGTCAAAATGGGCGCGGTGGGCGCATGCGAACGCAGGCATTTGGGCCTTCGGTGGGGCTCCCCACGGGGCCTCGAAGCGTGTGAGGGGCGTGTCAAAATTGGTGCGGTGGGCGCATGCGAACGCTGGCATTTGAGCCTTCTGTGGGGCTCCCTGTGGGACCACGAAGCGTGTGAGCGGTGAGCCAAAATGGCTGACTGGTTCGGAGGACAGAGAGGCAGGGATCGGAGAAGGGAGGAGGAGGAGGAGGAGGAGGAGGAGGAGGAGGAGGAGGAGGAGGAGGAGGAGGATGGGGAGGAGGAAGGAAGGAGAGGAACGCGGGGCACTGTGTCTTCAAAACGAGGACCCAACACTACATGATGGCGGGCATGCCGTTCTACAGGAAGAATATCCAAAATTAGTCAAAACATGATAAGGTAAACGACTCTTCCATTATCCGTAAGGGTTTCGCCCCCCTGCCGCCCGCCCCCTCTATCAGAATGGGACATATCAGAGTCACGT